GGTATGATCTACTTGAAACCAAGTTGAAACTTGTTTAAAATGTTCTTGATACCATTATGTCTGAGATGATTTACATTTTTGTAGGATGTCGACGAGATCGCCGATAAACAGCGGAGTAAAGTGGAGAACTTGGCCAAATACGTCCATTTGCAGGAGGTAGGCACATTTCGAATTATTATTTCGGTCAGAAAATATTAACTATTTTACACCAAACCAGTGATAATATATTTAAATAAGTACCATTTATGTTTCTATCAAAAAAATTTATGGAAAAAGGTAATGTAAGTCCACTGCTGTTTATATGAATTTGCAAGCCACAAATTGACGTTTAACCATGATTATTGCATGGCCATTTTCTTGTGAAATATTAGTGCTAGGCATTTCACACTTACCAATGACCACCCCAAAAAGTACCATCTCTGAACCATATAAGCACCTCAGAATAGCCAAAGCTTTTATGGTTTGGTAGATATATAGCAGTATGGCGAAAGCGTCGTTTTCGAATGTGGTCAGTTTCGGACGTTTCGCCCCGGATTGGGGTTCGGGCAGCATTACCATGTTGACCGTCATGGTCAACTTACCCTAAAACAGTTGAGATTATCTGTCCTAAATGAAATGCATACAAACTCATATACAGGTCCTCGACTAGGAAGACTATATATTTCCATCAAATCTTGCATGCATGAACACTAACCTTTAAAATTTTATATCCTTCATTTGCAGCTTCGCTCATTGTTTCTAAAAGTTGTTCTTCCCGCGTATCAAACCGCAAAGTGTAATGCGCACCACCTTGGACAATAATTCGTGGAGTCGGTTTATTTTCATGTCTTGTTTTAGTTTCTTAAAAAGAAATGAATTCAATTACTTTTGCGAACAATTTAAAGCTATTTGCTCACTCTGCCATTTATTGAGCATTTCATATCTACTTTTTTTTCGAGCCTCTGTTTTGAAAGTGCGCGGAGGGTGTTTCCCAGTTTGGATGAAGGTTTTTTTTTCTGAAGAAATGGGGCATTATGCACGCATACCTCCACTGATTATATATGGAAAAGATTAATCTTTTGTGGATATCTATAAGTGCGAGGATCGGGAAAATGTGAAAATTATCAGTTTTACCGATAATAAGTAGACTACGAGCGGTCCCTTCTTTCCGCGGGTTTAGATTTCCAGTCATACGAAAGGAAAGGCGGAACTGCAGACAACACATCAATAAATTAAATACGCGTTGCCCGCACAACGCAAAATTCCTATTGGTCGAAATCGATATGCCTGTCAATCAAATCTGATATGTAGTAATTATTCTATAAATACTTCCAGACTGATTTTATACTTGGTGTATCAAAATAAACATCATCGAACTTCAGCGCTCTATTGTATCTGAATTACTGCGTATGAACGAGATTTTTTCATCTTCGTAAAGATCAGGCTTTTAACTGTTGAATGACATGTTTTTTATGCCAAAGGGATAAAAAATAAGCAAGTAGGAGGCCGATAAAAATGCTAGTCAGAATCGCATATTATATTTTCACCGTTCAGAGTTGGATCTAAACCATTGAAAATTAATCCCATTCGGTACTTATTAATTTGATGAATTTCACCTCAATAAACTACAGTGTGTATAAAAAAAAACTGAACCCTTTCAAATTCAAATTAGCTATAAGTAAACGTATTGTAGTAATTTGACAGCTCTAATTGCTTTAAATTAATGGTTGGATAAGAACACTAGATCTTGTACTCGTGGAAATAAAAATTAGAAAATTTAAAAGAAATATAGTATTCTTTGTGTTCTTACCCAACCATTAATTCAAGGCAATTAGAGCTGTCAAATTACCACAATACGTTATAGCTAATTTGAATTTGAAAGGTTCAGGGGTTTTTTATACACCCTGTATACGCACATATATTCATAATTATTCTTAAGGTGTCTCGTACAGTCTTCAAAAATTCAGGTGTTCAACACTTTGACAAGTTCAAACTAAGTATTTTTAGAATTTATTCAGCAGATATTGGGTTTTTTATATATTTTGATATCTCTACTTTCAAATTATATTAGTTTTATTAACAGATATGCCGTTGCTATGACGACATACGAAATTTACTCCAAAATTGCCTGTCGTCTCGTATAGTTGGAAAAGAAGCATGATGACCCCCAATTTGTTTTCGTGCATTATTTTACTTGGAAGAAAAGCCAAAAATTTGCAAAATATAAAAAAATTCTGTAATGCCATTTTTTTTGGAAAACGCGAAAATGTCGTATTCTTCGGTAAAATGTTTTTGGCATTACAGAATTTTTTTATTTTTTGTATAATGAAAGTTTTTAGCGGTGCAATACAGCGTGCAAAATTTGAACATAGGTCACCAGACAAAATAGAGAGATATAGCGCATTGTTTTTCTAAAATGGAAAATTCTAATGACGTCAGCAATTGAAATAAAACGCTATAGAACCACTGAGCTATATTATATTACTGGGGGACCTGCTCGGCAGGAAAGAGTGTCGCCAAAAACATGGCGGCGCTTACGCCATTTCCATGGCAACTGGTCCGAAGTCTCCATGGTAATTGCCACTGACCAACCGCGATCCGAAGCATTAAACAAAGTCTCGCACCCCCTGTTTTTACACAATTATTCCAGAATTTTATAGACTGAGATTTTCGGTTGTTTTTGAGCTAGAAAATCTTTCCCCCGCACTTTACTTGTTTTACGACGTGGAGGAAAAGTGCCGTTTTGTTTCGTTTGTTGATGCAACAATTCACTATCAAGAAAGATTAAGTATTCTTTCAGGTAAGATTCATGAAACTATTTTTACTTTGTAGAACCTTGCTAGATAAAAGACTCTCGAAATGAGTCAAATGACTATAACATATTAAAGTCAAGAACTCATGCTACTACCATATATATACAGCAAATATTTCAATAGCAGAAACATTAAAGAGCCTGTGGAACCGGGGTTACGGACACATAAGTCCTGTTTATAATCGTTGAAAATTGTGGACATGAAATTATGTTTTGTGTTTTTTTTAAATATTGCCAGTTTTTAATAATTTATAATAATTGTGGTTGTTCACGTACTTGCTCACACAGTCGTACAGATTATATATGGTGTGAATCAGGATTAATATATAGATAAGCACAAAGACAGAGAGTGTGGGACAGAGGGAACAAAATACCCAGGACCTGGGAGTGTTCAAAGCAATGTGCAAAAGTTGGATAAGCATGATTGCTTGCCTATGTGTTTGAGAGACAAGATATGGTATAACTGAAACTTACTTTTGAGCTAGATTTAACAATCTCTCTCAATAGGTTTAGCAGCAAGTGATAGTCCAGAAACTGCACAGACTTCATGTCCTGTGAACAAGGCTACATTGCATTCCCCCAAATTAATTGAGGGAGTCTCACTGAGCTTGGACAAGCAAGTCCTACTTTTGCCAGACTTTTTGTAGCAGTGTTTATATGGGGTTGTAGAGCGGTGGTTATTGTGTGTGTGTGTGATTTAGGTTGCCACCATATGACCATGCACTTTATGTTGTTGGATATCGTAGTTCATTAAACTTTTTTGCCTTAACCCATGGAGCACCAGTGCTCTCCCCTTGGCAAGTAAAATTGACTGGCATTAGACAGATTGAGTAAAATAATCTGGTGTTACAATTGGGTATGCAGATAGTTTGATTTATATTCCATTGAGTGCCATGAGCACTCTCCCCTTGACGAGTAAAATAGTCATGCATAACCATGCAGATGATTGTCTGATTAACCCACTGAGTGGCAGTGCTCTCCCCTAAAGTGCAGTACATTAGGGTGCATTGCCACTTAAAGGATTAACATCAGGTACAGATTTTCGGGGGGGGGGGGCTCAGGAGTGCACCGGAACTTGGTTCCGGACGGTTAGTTCCAGCCGGAAGCCCGATTTTTTAGAATTCCGGTTCCGGCCGGAACTAGTAAAAAAAGCATGGCCGGAACCGGAACTCTGTCGTTTGTATAAAAAAATATGAAAATCCATCTCTGGTTAACATATATGTATTATATTTTTGTTAATTACTAAAGATGTGTAATAACATGATTGTGGTATAATGTTATCTTTTCTTTTTTTTGCAGGATTTATCTGTTTAATACAGGTATAGGCCGTAGGATGAGCATCCAAAAGATGCAATTCCGTTGCACCCCTCGTGTAACTACGTAATTTTCACATGAATAAATAGATAAAAACTTACT